TTTTTTTTTTTTTTTTTTTTTTTTTTTTTTTTGTTTTACAAGTTCACTCTAAATCACAAATGCAGAGGTTTTGCAAAACTGCAAAATTGATTATAATATATCATTTACTTTTTGTTTTCTCGTTGTATCATCTATTGTTTAGGTATATGTTCCTGAAAGTATTATTGTATAGAGGAAGTACTGTTGCTGGAATAGAAAATTTTACGCTTTGTCTGCGGCCTAAATTGTTAAATACACTCCAAATCGATAACAAGGTTGAATAATGAATTTAGAGCTAGGCACAGTGAGTTTTCACAGATGACTAATAAGTCAGCCAAATTATTTGACATTTTTCAAGATCTTTTTTGGTAGTAAAATGAAGTAATGTTTACCTTTGATAAACTTTTGTAACTATCGCCCATAATAATGCTTTTAATAAAAATGGTCAAATTCAACACCGAAATGTTCAGTTACGAAAAGAGAAAAAGAACTTAGTAACGCTAAATTAGTTTCGGCGCTCGGTGATTGCTTAATTTCGTCGAAAAAAAGGTAAATAATTATACAAAGAATTAGCAAAAGAAGTGGACAGTTACTGAAGTTGGTGGTACATGGCAGAGCCATGTTAAGGCTTGAACTCAACTGTTCACCTTTTGTTTAATCATTACTGTTTTAAGGATTTTCGTTATATGGAATAATTATTTTTTGTCAATATGTTACGCGGTTTTTTCGCATATAGCGACAACTGTTAAAAACTTGTAGTTTTTGTAGTTTTTTTACAGCAAACAACTAAACTTTTGGGTGGAGCTCAAATAAACTTACTTAAGGACAAGAGAAGCATTCATAACGCAAAAGTTGACTTTGAGCAACTTACTCCAGCCAGCAGAAGGCTAATTTGATGGCACGTATTTTTGATATTTCGGATGCTAAGACCAACAACGATGCTTTATGTACCAGCAGTAACAATGGATCATACCGAACATTTGTTTCGTTAAGGTCAGTTTTTTTACTTACTTTATTCACCATTAGACTTAGTCATATTTTATGCCAATTCCGCAGTTTTGGTGCGGTGACTACTCTAAACGCAAATTTGTAAACACGGATACAACCGATTTTTAGTCCTAAAACTACCATCTTGTACACTAAAACCAAAAACTATGAAAAGACTAAAATTCAAAGAGAAATCAAGCTTTCTTACAGTACTTCAGATTTACTAAACTGCCTCAGCTTTTATTAAGTGAAAAAAGTGTATAATTTAATATAAAAATACAATTTATTAATAAAAAAGTAAATATTGCAGAAATTCTGAAAAACAAAAATTATTTACATTATTATTGAAAATATAACTGCTGCTGTCTTATTTTTTTAAACGGCCCTTAAAAACTTTTTGACTGTGACGAGTGAATATCAGTGCATTTGCATTGCGACAGCAAAACGGACCTTAAATCTTTCGTTAATTTGTTTAAACAGAAAAAGGGCTCTATTTATCGATCAAATGAGTCGTTTTGACGGCTCTGCCGTCGACGAACCATTTGTGCATCATTGTTTCATCAAAAAGTTGCACTATCTGTTATATTCCAAAAAGTAACAGTTACTCTACTTTTGAAATTACTTTCTTTTTACTACATAATCCAGAATATGAGCAAAAGTTTTAAATACTTTTTATGAACACCATCTGACATTTTGGTACAAGTTCTTTTTTAGTTTCAAAACAAATTACTTCTTTGCAGATGTATCCGTTTGCTAGCAGCGATTTGCGCCTTTGCAGCTTTTGCGCTCCTTATTTCTACCGTAGTACTAGCAACAATTTTGGCTGTTAGAAACAAGGAAGACAACCATGTTAGTTTTCCTTGACCGTCCTCTTTGTCATTTACCTTTCACTTCATTTTGTTGCCAATCTTTGTCTCAGGATGCCCCTTCTAAAAAGCCATTTTCGCTTGATAATATTAAAACCAGTAGTTTTTACCACATTTTAGTCAAGAAAGCATGACTCTATGACTTTATCGGACAGTCCATACGAGGTACTGAAGTGGCCAAAACCAAGTGGTAGTTTAGACGGACAATTCAAAAAAGCAGCAATTGCTACAGATCATGGATTGTGTAGCGAAATTGGCAGGTTTGATTTGTTTTATGTGCTTCATTAATTTAGCCTTCATAAAAGAATCCCTTCAGAAGCATTATCCAATTGTTTGTGCCTATTCAAAAAAGGCATTATCTTAAGGGACATTCTATTCCTCGGAGGTAACGCTGTAGAAGCTACAATTGCATCTTTGATATGTATTGGTGTAGTAAATCCTCAAAGTTCTGGCCTTGGTGGTGGTTTTTTAATGACTATTTACAACAAGTAAGCAAAACTTTTCACTACTATTTATGAAAATAATTTTATAAATCACTTCCATTGAAACTCTTCTGCTCTTATTCGACTGATGTAGCACCAATCTTTTAAAGAACAGGCCAAAACTGTGTGACAATAAACGCCCGCGAGGCAGCACCAATAGCCTCCACACAGACGATGTTTGTTTCTAATCCAAAGGAAGCTACAACAGGTGCGTAGTACAGATACAGTTTATTAGCTCTTTAGCTTCCTTTTCCTTTCAGTTTTTTACCATAACCGAATAACTCTGAATCTAAGTGAAACTATTACCAAAACAATTTTATAAATTGGTTCCAGGTTATAAAGCCATTGCTGTTCCATCAGCGCTCCACGGTTTATGGATCGCATACAAAGAATTCGCGAGCGGTAAAGTTTCGTGGCGTCGTCTCGTTGAGCCTTCAGCGGAACTGGCCATTGATGGCTTCCCGGTATCTTCAAATTTGGCTGAAACGTTGATGGAAAAAGAATCTGCAATTATGGCTGACAGCTCAATGAGGTAAGTTTCATACTGTTTAAGCAGAAATAATGAGCAGAATCCTACTGGGATATTGAGCGGAGAGGCTGTTTTGGTAATATTCGCTGAATGAGACAGCCTTATAAAATTCTTTTCTTCAATCTATTAAAAGAGTAGCAAAGATAACTAGCTTCTCTGTCTTACTAGTTAGCATGTAATACTGCACTAAGTGATCGTCTCCGGTTTTTATGATCAAACAGAGGACACATCGAAAAATGCAACCAATGACAAACTAGGTGACACTTTAGTTTTAATTCACTGCAAAGAAAATTTGAGTTTTACCTTGGAAGAACTCGGACTGCGAGATAAATGGGCTAAAATTATGCAGTTTGTTAGCAGACTCTTTGTCTGATAGTAGAGAAGGTCTGGCAACTTTTGAAACAATAAAGCAGTAGTCAAATTAAATCTGCAAC